TTAATATTGATTTTATGTATAGTTTACCATTATCTTGTCAAATTGATCAAACAAGACAATCAAATAATATAATACAACAAATATTATCTGATAAATATATTGATTGTATTAATTTTTGTGATCAAAATGTATTATGTGCATTATGGAATTGGCAATTAGTAAATAATCAAACAACATGTTTATTATATAGTGATGTACCATACAATGTCTATATACGTGATAATGTAAGTGGTGTACGTGGTCAATGGACATTTAATAAAACTGGTCCATTAATATTAGATCGTTTGGGAAAAAACACCAGCAAATGGTCAATATTCATTATGGCCATTTCTATCATCTAATCAAATAATGACAGCTACAGTTGATAATGATATTAATCATTTATTAAATGGTTTTGTAACAAATGGTGGATGGTATGAACAAACACAAATAAAACAATCGGGTATACATGGTGCTGCATCTATTTCAACATTTGTATAACCTGATGAAAAACAAACATCAATTTTATTTGCCTGGTATTTTCCACATCATAATTGGTTAGATTTACCCATAGATAATTATTATTCATTAATATTTAATAATGTAACACATGTTGGACAATCAATTGATATAGGTGAAAATACAAATCAATTAGAAATAATTATAAAAGATATTTTAACATTACATAATATTTATATTAATTCAAGTTTACCTGATTATTTAATTGATTCGTTAATTAATAGTGTATCACATATGCGTAGTGCAATGTATTTTGCTAATGGCGATTGGCGTCAACGGGAAGCCTATGATTGTAATGATGTTGATAGTGTACATAATGATCATCAACGTCATTTACCATATATTCTCTATTTTCCAGAAACAGAAAAAATACAACGTATCCATGAGCAAAATATCAACAAGATGATGGTATGATACAAGAATCATTTACAGTTGGTTGTATGGGTGATACACAACCATATGATACACATGGTGGAAGAAGAATGGGAGATGTAACAACAATATTTTTATTAGAAACATTAGAATTATATAAATGGACAAATGATAGTATATTTTTAAATGATATGTATCCACGTGTATTAGATGGTATAAAATGGTAATTAAACGTATCATCTAATTTAGGATTACCGGAATATTTAGTATGTACTTATGATATACCAGGTTTAGATCAATATCCAACAACAACATTTAATTCATTTATGCATTTAGCTGCAATGGGTGCATGTATGCAATTA